TGTTATTTCTGTGATCATGATATAATAACTCTAATTTATAATACAAATCGAACAACACAAATGCAGTTCTGCCGTGAAATGTTCACAGCTCTTTAAAGTATCACTGAGATCCTGCAGGGGACTTTTCTTTCACAAATGCAGAAATAAAACCTGACAGTGTTTCAGTCAATTAGTCTGAGGTTTACGCCGACTGACTCACAGATTGACACCCACCCACCTGGCCTTAATGGGTACCCGCCTCTCACATTAGGGGTAATTGTGAAATAAACTCTGGTTTAAGTGCTTTAAAAGATGGTAGACTGCAGGTCACACTGATCTCAAACAAACGAGGATGATCAAAATACATTTTTAAGTCCCCAACGAACAAAGGAAGGGGACATTTAAAGCTATTTCAGCTAATCCCCTATTCACCACAGGTCGCCTACAGTGTCAAAAACATTTGGCAGATTTTTAAACTGGATGCTCTTCCTGACACAACCCCCACAAGGATCTGTATCTCCTCCTGGGATCAAACTGGGGATCTTTTGCTTGGTTAGGCAAATGTGTAAACCACTACACTCTGCATCCACAAACAAGGGAACAAAGAAGTAATAGTCGTAAAATCCATAGGAAGAGAGCAAATAACAATGCTTTTAACGTGGGCACAGCAGGACATCCTCATGTATAGGGGGAAGGAAAAGCTGAATGTTGTTTATGTGCTCAGTTCCACCAAAGACACTGTTGTGGGAAAATCTGACCAACACAGAGACTTTGGCAGTGAGGAAACAAACCTTCACTCGTTCTTCACCTTCAATCAAAGGCTCATTCAAGTACATTGTACTTCACCAGATTCAATCAAATGTAACAATTTTACTTATGTAACAAAATTACAGGGAAAATTTTACATTCAAGTCAGAAATTTGGGCAGATTTTTTTTTTTTTGAGTGCATAAAGAAAAAGAAGCACAAAACATACTTGAAGATCAAAATATGCAGATTGAGTGACACAGATGGCGTAAAAATTAACTTCAGGTTTATTTATCTAAATAACACCAACAATCACCTCAAGGCGCTTTATACTATATGATAAAGACCCTGCAGTGTTCTGGAGAAAACCCCAACAATCAAACCATTTTCCTTCCCAGCAGGAGCAGCCGCGGGGAGGGGCAGCCGTGCCCGGTTTGAGGGTGGGGGCGACAGGAAACAGCTACAACATGTAGACGACTGTCTGCAAAGCTTTGCAATCAATGCATAACCATGAAATCCCTTAAAGCAATCCACTATGCACTGCACTTAATGGCTGATAATATCATTCTGCTCCCTGTTTTCCTCCTGCCTGGCAGCTCCATCATCAACATCCTTGGTCCAGTATATCCACTCTCTCTCCTCTCAACATGTCAGCCTTGTCTCGCTAACTTTGTCTCCAAACTGCTCTGCCTGAACTGTCTCTTTCACACTCATTGATAATCATTTCATCTTCAGCTCCACCACCTCTACCTCCTGTCTTTTTGTCAGTGCCACTGTCTCCAAACCATACATCATAGCAAGTCTCATCTTGTAAACCTTCCCTTTCACTCTTGCTCCTATCCCCAGTTTTTCACCTTCATCTTTCAGTTAAATGTCCCATGACTGGACATTTTATGTACTACGTTCAGATGCAAGAGAGCAGACATAACTGGAAACAAAAATCACGTGCTTCGATGAGGATCGTCCCACTTTTTCAAATAAGTGACAATTGGAATAAAACGTAGTGTGCAAAAACGAAACAAACAAACAAAGAAATTGTGCAGCGCAGAGAGCCAAACAATCACAGCTGGTTTTATTTTTACCATAACACTGTGCGGCTTGTATATAGCATCATCAAAATGTGCAAGACCATCCAAGGAGGGGACGCTCTGCAGGGATACTTCTATGTCACAAACTTTTTCGCCCGCCATTCCTCTTCTCGTGTTTGTTTTGCATCTTCCAAGCAACAGTGACGCCATAAATCCCGGCTGTCAGTTACAAATTTTAAACAAGGTTTAAAAAAAATATCTGAATGAGAACGTCTGGCAGTGACCGGTTCCGAAGAATTCAGACTAGAATCTTTACACGCCGCACACACTGCACGGCGTTATCTGCTGAATGTAAACACCAGCTGAGCCCAACTGGAACTGATCTGGTGGGACTGGTCCTCATCAGCCAGCACCTCCAAACTGCATTCATAATCGGCCTGACAGTCGTTAAGTCCATCTCTAGGTTTACATATGGCATATGATTTGGAGAAAGAGCACATATTCTCCATGTGTGTCAATGTAATTGTTTTCCTTTGCAGGACAGGCGTCCTCCATTTGTCTCTACGTGTAGAAATTAAGAACAGCAGGTCTGTTTGAGACTTAACTGCGTTCCCTGACACAAATCCAACAGCACGACGCAATTACTGCGAGCCATCTTATGTTATTTACAGTTGAGAGGAGCACTTAATACTTATTGTACACAGAGAAAGCCAACAATTCCACATGCAGACAAGCACCACCAGCCGAGCTGTGATCGTCTCTCGTGCATGATGGATGGGAGGATCTCACATAAGTGCAAAGGATAAAAACAGGCCTCGCGCCTCGTGAACAAAGTTTCCTGGATACAACAGACTACACAACACTTGTATGGTGTAAGCCTTTACCACTGTTAATGCAACACAGTGCAAGCAGTCTTGCATCAGCTATGGTGACATGTTCAGAGGAGTGATGCAAGGAAGAATCCGACATGTGCAGCAATTTGTGCATCTTAATATGTTAATAGGAGCACGAAGCAAAACAGCATCAAAAGCGAGTGCCGAGAATGAAATTTAGTGCATAGAATGTATATTTGTATGGATTTATTTATAGAAAAAAAAAGAAAACAAAAATCAGCTGAACAAGGCTGACGACGTATCAATCAATCTTTAGGAGGAGGGCGTATTCTCTGTCTGCCTTCTGGTATCCAAAACACCACTTTAAAGGACCGGATCAGATCACAACAACTGGTTGACAACACGCAGAAGGGAGGGGTAGAAATTTAATAAAATCCACTGTCATGCTGAGCGCACTAGTGATATCCACTCTAAGCAGAAACCACTCCAGTCTGTAGCCTCGGGAGCTTAATTCATCGTCCTTTTAATTATCCCTGACGTGCAGAGTACTGCAGCCAGCAGGTACAGGTGTAAACAGAGATACACTCAGTTATTACACCCGCACATGTGAAATGAAGCAAGATGTCCTCTGCCACGCCGACTTTCTGTTTCCCCCGGCAGCAGAGCTGTTAATCTCCTGACAGGTGTCCGTGTTATCTTAGGAGTCCGTCGGCCTCTGACGGTGCGGAACAGGCAGTCAGTCCCTCCACACGGTAACTAAAACATGACCTTACATTTTACATAAATTTGAGTGCGGAGACGAAAGACTGAAAACGTTCCAGTGTTAAATTCAAACACTGCATGTTAATGCCGGTGTCCAGTGTTGCCTTCAAATGCTCGCTTTATCCTCTGACTGCTCAGCCTGTAAATGGTATATACCACATGGTGTCAATACAACTACTCATTTAAGACAACAAGACGACAAACCTGTAAGGAAGGGTCTTTTTCGGCATGATTTAATCCAAACATTTCATGTTTTTGTGACAGTTTTATCCAAAATATATAAATTTTTTATTATATTAAGTTAGAGTTCACCCTGAAAATCAAATGTAGGACATGCAGAGAAGTGGTGTGACAGAAGAAGATACTCGTTGAAGGTAGATGATCTACTGTGGTGAGCCCTAAAGGGGGCAACCAAAAGCTGAAAGTGCTATTTATCCATCTGTTCAAATACAACAGGACTGTGAGCAGGTTTATGTAGGACCTACTTCCTTTCTACCGAACTAACCCCATCAACTGTATCGCTGTGCAAAACGAGCTACCCGTGACCTCATGCTCGTGACCGCGTGGCAGGATGTAAACACTAATGGGAACCCACTCAGCTGAGCTGTAATTAGCTGGCTGCACGCTTTAATTGGCGGATGTAGACAGACAGTTCCGACATGAAACTGCACACACACATCTAGGTCATGATTTGTGGAAAGAGGTGTTGCTATAGTGTACTTCTTAAGATTCTGACCACCAGCTAGTTTCCACTAGATTCATGCCAGAGGAGAAACACGTATACTTGATTTAAGGGTGAAACAGATTTCTGTTGTGTTAAAATTGCTCATTTAAAAACTTATGGGCAACAACAAATACTATAAAATAAAGACCTGATGTGATTAAACAGAAGCTTTCATGAAGCTTTCAACACTTATTTTGTGAAACCACAAAACCAACCTGTCATTACACCTTCAAATAACTGTGAAGGCGACGTGTCTTTAGCTTCGATATTTCACAGTTCAAATGAAAGGAAATCGTGGTGCTTTCTAAATTAAAGACTTGTTTCAAACCCAAAGCAGCCTGATATACAGCGATAACTATTTCCTTTACCCAGAGGCCTCTTCCATACAGAGGGGCCCCTTCCTCTAGCAGTATGAGAAAACAGTCCATTCCACTAATATTATGTTTTCATTAATGAGAAGGGGCTTAAAAAGCGCCATGTTTGTTTGCATTTAGGCTAGACTGACTCAGTCTGAAGAAGCTGAGCGAGGGCGGGGACGTCAGGGTCAGGAGCAGCTGAAGGTCTAGTTTCTCAGAAACAATTCAGACAAGAGGGAAAGGGCAAGAGGGAGAGAGGGGCGAGTGGTACGGAGGAAAAAAGAGAACACGACGATGCTTAGCTTATCTTGAAAAATGAATGCTGCCTTATCAGAAAACCTCTTTTCTACAGCACTAAGAAAAAATCATGGCTGCTTCAGTAAAGATACAACCTACAGTAGGAAAGCTAAAGGTAGAGAAGGAGATGGGATGGCTATAAAGGAACTGGTACGACTACTGCTTACTTTTAACAGCCATTATGAAACAACGATGCCATTTCAAAATTTCAAAATTTGCTTCTGAGGCATTAAACTGTGTTAACGTTAAACAATAAATACATAATTCAAACTCACTGTTTCTCTTCTCCCTCTGATGGGTTAGAGTCCTGCTCCTTGGGCATGTGTTCCATTCACCTTAATTCCATCCAGCAGCCAATCATGAGAGACTGAGGCAAGCCCCACCCTCGGATGCACACTTGTCATTCGCCGGTTGGGACGAGTCGGTCAACAAAACATAACAGGGGCCAGTCCCTAGGGGCCGGTCCCTGGTGTCCTCGGAAGGTGGGTTTTGGGCGTTTCTCCAAAAGGAGTGCACCCGGTGTGTTGTTGCTCAGGGTGATGCTGGAAAATATGAAAGATGATGTAGGTTCCTCGGGTATATCAGCTGGCCTTGAGGCCAGGGCTGGAGGTGGATGACAGTCTCAGGAACGCAGTGGGAGGATTGGGATCCAGGCTGGAAGAGAACAAAGGTCACACTCAGATTAAAAAGTCTCCAGATATGAAACAATGGGAATATGTGCACGACTAAAGCTCCCATCTATCAGGACAATAATGATCACTTAATGATTAATACACTGGAAAAATAGAAACCACATTGAAATATCAGGCATAGATTGAAGTTTAGACTTGCAGAACAGGTCATCTACTACTTGGAAGGTTGGTGGTTCTATCCCTGGCTGCTATGGTCTGCATGCCAAATGTCCTTGGGCAAGATACTAACCCCAAGTTGCTCTCTGATGAATGTGTGTGAATGTTAGATAGAACGCACTTGGAGAACGCAGCAACCACGTCACTAATTATGGAGGAATTATGGCTTAACTCTGAATGTAGGTAGTTAAAGTAGTTTCTGTGGACAGCAACAGAATTAGGATGCTAAAGTTGCTACAAAGACAGCCACTGAAGACCTGGTTGTTCTCGAAACAACCTTTTCAAAGACAACAAGACATTCCACACAACACTCATTTTAGTCCTAAGAGTCCAAACTGACAGTGAGTTTCCTGTGACAGCAGGCTGGAGAAATCTGGAAGTATTCATATCAGAGAAGCTGCACAGAGCCAAGGTTACTTTTTTCACTACAACGCTCTATAAAAATGTGTCGGAGAGAATGATCCCAAGATTTGAATCACTAGGAACCAAGGTAGACACAGAAATCAGACCTCAACTCTGTAAAACCCAACCCATCTCAAAACCTGAGACACACACTCGACCCAAGACCTGACATGTTGCTTTGAAACAGAAAGCATTTATACAACACTTCTACCCAACGTGCTTTACAATTTGCCTGTCAGTCACGTACAAAAAAAAACACACAAACAGCAATGGCAGCAAGTCATAGAAAGTCATACAAGGCAGTGGCCTAACCACAAAGAGCAGTTGGGTAAGCGCCTTTGCCCTAGGACATGCAAATTGTAGGAGCTTGGAACTGAACCCAGACTACTTCATAGTTTAGCTACAATTATCCCACACATAAGGAATTTTGGTGCACGTTGTTATCTTGGCGCTCCCTCCCAGTGGGCATTATTTAACTACCCATCTGAATGTATGATCTGCATGAATGCAGACAACTGATAAAGTGAGAACGGGACACAAGACCGAGTCTGCAGGCAAGAAAAAGCTAAAAAATAGCCAGGTTTGAGGTTTTGTGCCACGAACGATCAAAAAAAGTCTTCTGAATTTGTTTCACCAAGGATGTGGCCATACTACAACCAAACAAGTACTTCACCACATGTTGTGACCATTGAGTTAAGCTGTCAAATCCACTGAGACTCATACTCCATCTACCATTACATGACCCTTGGACATAAGAAATAGAGGCTTTTACTCATGCATGCAGAAGCAAATTGATTTCTTCCCCATTCACACACAAAGTTAAAGCTGGATAAGTTGGTCTGAAGGTCAGAAACTCTGTCACGTTCAGCTGTTACTGGTGCCATTGCTAGTTCCTGGAAAACTGCTTAGAGAACGTCACCTCTTGCAAAGGGTTAAGTAGTTTTAAGATTAGCAGCTGAATCCGTGAAAGGGTATGTGTGTTTGTGTAAGTACTAAGAGGATCTTGATCCTTTAACCCCTGCCCTCCTCCCTCTGTTGTTAAAGGAAGGCTTCTTTCTTTCCTTTGCTAACCCTTCATTCGATAGCTTTCTAACAACAGAGCACACACAGAGCATAAGAATGGCCACAAATGAGACCAAATTAGTATTACTAACATAGAGAATATGCTGTATGCAATACTGTTCTAAACAGGAAAATGAGGCTTTCATCAGTTATTTTGTGGCCATATTAGCAGAAGGTGACTAATTGTGAAACCCTGAATCTGATAATATCAGACCGATGGTTGCTGAAAACAGTAAGAGTGCACGATAAAATCCAAATGTGTGGTGGTGCACCAAGATTGTTTTAAATCATTTTGCATATCAATCCATTTTCCTCCACTTAAAAATAATTTAAAGACCAATGTTCATCTGTAAAAGCATGACCACTAATGAAGGTAGGCTACATCATTTATCAATGCATGCAAATAAAGTTAAATGACTTCTATGTTCTTCTAATATATAAAGATGCAATTTTCGACATAGATAAGTAAATATCTCCTCCATCTCCTCTTTCCTTATATTTGCAGAGGTGTATATATGCAGGCCCACTGCTCCAGCTGTCTGCTGATTGTATAGGAATTTCTTTTACTTATGTATTAATAACATTATTTTATTGTATGATGCCTTGGTGCCACTGGATTTTAACATGTCTCACACTCATACAGTAAGACAAATGGTGGGGGTCTAGTAAGGAAGTTGGGGGAAGCAGACAACTTCACAGGAAGAATCTTTTGTCTCTTCTCTGACTCTGGGAGGTAGCAAGGGAGTGTGAACCTTAAGGTGTGAAACAGCTGTGTACTGCCTTTCGTTCCTGAAGAAGGTATTTAACTGAGAGCCATGTTAGGCTCGGGAGACTCTGCTGGCCGTCTGCCCCGCGGTCATGCAGGCTCTCCACCAAGCTCAGGTTTTTCTGTTCTTTCTTTGTGATTAAAGAATGTTAGCTACCGCTCACCGCTCGTCTGCAGGCTTTATTTAATGGAAAACTATATACAGTGCATCTACTCACTATCCATTTAATCTGTTTGTTAATGCAAATATCTAATAAGCCAGTCACATGGCAGCAACTCAGTGCATTTAAGAATGCAGAAATGGTCAAAAATGACCTGGTGAAGCTCAAACAGAGCATCAGAATTCAGGGAAAAAAGGTGATTTAGGTGACTTTGGATGTGCCATGGTTGTTGTCCAATGGAGACCCAGGAGATTCGCATCATGGATGTGCAGCTGACAAATGTGCAGCATGTGTGTTGATGCTATGATATCCTGAGGAATGTTTCCAGCAACTCGTTGAATATACACTACGAAGATCTAAGTTGGTAGTTGGTAAAATCAGGCCCAACCTGCTATTAATATACAAATATATACATGTAACGAAAAATAATTTCCCCCAGGGATCAATAAAGTATTCTGATTGTGATTCAAATGGATTGCTGCTGGACTTTGCATTATTGGGCCCTTACCAACCACCGATAAATTTCTGAATGCAGAGTTGTATGTGAGAATAATAAAACTGGTTTTATTAATATTGCAAACATTGTACAATCATCAGCTAAAACATTTAATAAACATCTGTTAAACAAAACAAGCTTAATCAAGAACCCCACAAAGACTAAACATTAGGCATGAAGTAGGCACTTAAAGACACTTAAAGATAAAACACACGCACACACACTGTGAGCGGAGTAGTCTACAAGGCTGAAACCAACAGGGCAAACTGGCGTGATATTGATATAGGACAGGAGTGATATAAACTGCATATCAAATATAAATGGAGTGTGCTTTATCATAGCTCTACTCTCTATCAACATCCACAGATCACCACTACAAGTGGCATTAACCTCAGTATGTGTCGGTAACACAAACAATAAGTCGTTTATCACACTGGAACAATGAGCTCAAAATCTGAAAGCAGAGTATTGTCTGATTAGGAACTGAAATTACATCCAAGTACCATATGCTATTAGAGCAAGACAAGTCTTTTTAGAACTGGACCCTATTCCTTTCCATTTTCTTCACTGTATCCATAAACAGCGAGGCTCTAGGGAACTGTAAATTATAATGATGCTGCAGGTTTAGTTTCGGGGCATATTTGTAGAAATAGTGCTTCAAGCCTCTGGTTAGGAGTTACAACAGCTTCTTTTGGACTAAACAGCTTTGGCAACTATAAGAGGGTAAGTACCCACTGGGGTGGTTGCCCTGGAACTATGTGCCATCTGAGCTTTTCTTCTGCTTGCTTTAGCATCGCTAATTGCAGAGGCACTGCTCTTTGTCGACTTTTACTTCGTTGTGAACCTTTTTACATCCTCTTCATTTTTTCTCTACATTTCCTCACTGTATTGTGTTTGCCTAACAGCGAGTTATAGGGAAGTGCTAGTATATGTTTTTTTCTAATTTGTTCTAAATTGTAAGATTTCCCACACTGGAGGCTGGGCTTCACTGCTGGAGTTTCTTCCAGTTTTTAGTCCTAAAACTAAAAACTGTCGGTTTTTTAATGTTCAAGTGTTTCCATCAATTTTCTCCAGAGTCCAGATCACAGGGGTAGAGTCTCCTCTCCTTGGCTACTTCCAGCAACTTTTGCAACAAGGCATGAGCCCATGGGGCTAGGCCCAACCAAGCTCAGCCCCAAAGAGCTACACAAGTCTGGGCCTCAGTGGGCCCACTAGCCGGTGCAGCGTGGATCAGTAGTAGTCGAGTGCAGTCACTGGTTGCAAATACTGGCTACATGACTTTTTGCAGCACTTGTCCCCTCTTGGCCATTAAAAAGACTGCAGGTTTAACACACTTCCACATTGGCTTCACTTTTCAGATTCAAAGTCTAAGTCTATTTTTCATACCATTTATGGTCCTACCAAAAATGGACTTCCAAAAACTTTGATGGTGGTGAATTCTTTCTGTTTTCACACCGTTTAAAAACAGTTACTCTAAAAACATTCCTTTAGTGTTAAATCAAAAAACACGGGCTGTTTACTGATCTCTGCTATTGACCAGGCTTCTTTAAAGCGTTCAACCTTTAAAAGGACATACAGTAAATTCTGAATTCCACCCAGAGAGCTCCCTAACCTTTGTATTGATTTATAACAGGCATTAACTTTAATTCATGTTACTACAAAGACTGTTGAGTCATTAAACAGATCGTCCAAACTCGGCACCATTTTTGACAAACTCTTCCACAACTTCTCTCTTCTATAAACTCACTACCTGTGAGTTTATGCAACACAAAGTGGCACACGGTATCATGATCACAGATAGGATTGAGCCTCGAGCTTGTTAAGTACTTGTGAGGCTGTATCTGCTACCCTACCACACTTAGAACATCCCCATATCTATCTATCTATCTATCTATCTATCTATCTATCTATCTATCTAT